TTTTGGAACAGCTTTCCGAGGGAAACAGTGGGGGCGAAAGACCTCTCTGGCTTTAAGATTAAGCTAGATAAGTTTATGGAGGGAATGGTTTGATGGGATAACGTGATTTTAGTCAATTGGTCAACAACGTGCCATCACTGGTAAATAGTATCAATGGTCAATGAGAGTCTGGCTGGAGAATCTTGCCTGCATGCTCGGGGTTCTACTGATCGCCATATTTGGGGTCGGGAAGGAATTTTCCTCCAGGGTAGATTGGCAGAGGCCCTGGAGGTTTTTCGCCTTCCTCCGCAGCATGGGGTGGGTGTCGCTAGCTGGAGGATTCTCTGTGACTTGAAGTCCTTAAATCACAGGATTTGGGGATTTCAACAGCTGAGTTAAGGGAAAGGGGGTGGGTCAGCTTTTGTGGCCTGCATCATGCGGGAGGTCAGACTAGATGATCATAATGGTCCCTTCTGACCTTAAAGTCTATGAGTCTATGAGTTTGTGGACCCTTAGGTATAAAACTGGTTATATTCATTCAGTTTGCACCTGAAAATTAATATAAGTGAGGTTGAAAACAATATAATAATGCCTACACACAAAGTTGCACTCTTTTAACTAAACTGGTATAAAAACACACCTTTCATTCTGTCATTATAACTTTTTTGTGTAGATTACAGGTAATTTTTTTACAAGCACCAAAGTGTTTTAGGATTTTCAAAGGGAATTAGGTGTCTAGTGGGATTTTCAAAAGCCTAGGCACCTAAATCTCATAGAATTAAATGGGAGTTATGTACTTAACCTGCATACGTACTTCTGAAATTCCCACTAGGTACCTATCTGCCTATCTTTAGGCATCTGAATGCCTTTAACTATCTGGCCTCTGGTGCTTTATACTACTGTATCTTACACCACTTATTAGGCTGCCTAAATGTGGATGTAGTTGCCTAACTTTGGGCAGCCACTTAGGGACAGATTTTTAAAGCATCTAATGGGATTTTCAAAAGTACATAGGCACGTAACACCCACAGAAATGAATGGGTTTTAGATTCCTAGATGCTTTTGAAAATTCCAATAGGCATCTCAATACCTTTAAAAATACGGCCTTTTGTCTTTTACAAATGGAGAAACTGAGGAACAATGAACTTAAACAATTACACAGTGGTCCATCAGCAAGTCAATGGAGACACAGAACCAAGGTCTCCTAACTCCCACTGCTCTTCTTTAACCAAGGACATCATCCTTACTATGTCAGGCGGTTGGCACTAGAAGAAGACAGTGAAATTCTGTTGAGACCAAATCCCAAGGGCACTTCTGAGGAATATAAAGTAGGCTTATTCGTAAGACCTGTTGAGTTGCCATACATAAACAAAGCAGGTAAGGGGAAAGGCGGCAGGGTGATGATGAACTGGTAATGGAATGAGACTCTAATGAATATTGATATCTGCAATAAGTAGGAAGATGTTGAAATGTTTGATTTATAACTGGAGGAAAAATATGGCACCCTCACTTTCAATGCATTTTTTTCTCAGAATCCAAGAACGCTGCATACTAAGAAGAGAAGATAATGCATGAAAAGCTAATAATCTAGGTCCACTAGAGAGAGAGAGGGAGAGAACACACCCCAGAAATATACTTTAAACCAAGTGTATTATTAATTATATTTTCTATATTTGGTGATGTGACCTACTGGGCCATATCTTGTTGGAAGGAAAAGGTTTCCCACAGTGAGTAATTGGTACACCTGTAACATATTCCCATCTCTCTCTCTCTCTCTCTCTCGCTTGCTCTTTCTCTCTCTCTCTCTCTCTCTCCCTTTCTTTCACTCATATTTTTCAACTCTTGAGTGCATAAGAGAAAATAGCTATATGATAGATCTGTGAAACTCACTGCTGAGTCACATAGTCACCTGAGTCACATAGATAAGAATGTAAAAATGGATTGCTTATTTTCTCTTAGAGGTAGACTGAGGTTTTCGTAGCCACAAATGCTACATGGATGCCCACTCCTCATTCATTATTCATGGGAATGTATTTGTTTAAAAACAGATTTTAAAAGGTATTTAGGCACCTAATGAGATATTTAGAAGCATCTAGGCACCCAAAAATCATTGATGGGTGTTAGGCACCTAGCTGCTTTGAAAAATTCCACTCAGCCCCAGAATCCCTGACAGCTTTTTAAATCTCAGTGATAGCCTGGTTTGGTAGATGGGAAATAAGGAGTTGGAGATTGTCCCAACACTGTCAGTGATATACTGTGTGAAATTTGTATAAACTATCTGTGCCTCAGTTTCCCCTTCTGTAAATAAATGAGAATACTATTCACTCGCCTTAGTGAAGTGGTTTGAGATCTACAAATGAAAAAGCACCATGAGTTTCTTCCCAAGCCTACTAGAGTGAATGGAAAGAGTACCATTGACTTCCTCTGTTATTCGATGAAGCCCTCTATAATAATGGTAATTAGGGCATTAGAAGGCAGTAGCTCCTGATCTTGCTTCCGGGCTTTCACCCTGTCTTCCGATGCATCCCTGGCCAAGATCCTTTACCCCTATTTTCTCCTTATATAGCAGAGGATTGATAATGGTTAATATTTACTACAGAGGGGCATTGGGCCCATTTCAAAAGTCACAGCTACAAAGGGCAGTACTTTCCAGCCCATTGTAGAATGAAATAGCTCATGAGTGGAAGACGTAAAGAGGTGTAGAAGTATAAAGTATTATTATCTTTGCCAAACTCATCTCAGATTAGAATAAGGAGCATAAGCAATATGGGTGGGATTTTCAAAAGGGTCTATGGGAATCTGGCATCTACATTCCACTGAATAACAATGAGATTTGCATTTTTAATTGCTTTCAAATATCCTTTGAAAATCCCATTGCACCATGACGATCAATCATTTATCCTTCAGGGCAAAATTTTATTTCCATCTCAGCTGAGCATGGAATGTGCCTCTGTCCAGCACTGCAAAATCAGGGACATTATTTTTGGTTTATAATTTCTTCTTTTGTGAAATGGGAATAATGATCCTGAACCCACTTGTAAAATGCTTTCAGATCTCCTGCACAAAAGCTTGGGATTATAATTAATGAGCATCATCAATTAAGCACGTCTGGTACATAAATCTATATGAAATTCTTGTTCCGTTCTCACTTACATGTTAATATGTCATGAATAGGCTTGGCAGAATGTTATGTTTATTATTTCTAATTTTGATGAGTAATATCAATAATAAAATATTTAACGCATTTCTTTCCATTTTTTTAATTTAAATTTTCATAGTTGCACAAAATTATGGGGTGGGGGAGACTGTCTGAGAAATGACAGTAGACTCTGAGATTCAAAAAGTGAAATGTCTATAAACCATTGAAATACAAATTGTTAACATTACATGTCAAAATAGAGAAAGTAAATATCCTTCATTCAACAGCTCAGACCTGTTTTTACCATTCATTCACTAGTCCATTTCTAACAAACCTAACTGAAAAGTCTAAATCCCTGGATTTTTACTCTAATATGTTCTCAAAGCATTTTTCTTACTTTGCCTATCTGTGAATTTTAAGTATTATTAATAGAAATAGGTTTTCATCACTTTATGTGTGCATGGTGACATCAACATTTGCCAACATTTATCAGTACCAAGCTAATCCTTCCAAGCCTAGTCATGAGGTTTGTTCCTTGATTGTTAGAATTTGATCCTGGGCAAAATGTAAAATCAGTTTTAATGTTAGATATAAAGGGGGAGATTTTCAAAAGATTTTCAGTGGGAGTTGGGCCACATGGTCCTCTTTGCCTTTGAAAATCTTCACCAAAGACAAACATCATGGTCATGTGCGAAGAAGAAGACACAAAAATAACCCCAGTGTTTCAAAGCTAGGTGTTGGGAAAGCTAGCTGAGTTTTGAAATAAGTTGGAGAGTCAGGAAAGATTTAGGAGGAAAGGTTAGGAGTTCAAATTTTGCATTCTTGTGCTGGAATTAGAGTTTATGATTCTCTACCTTGGAATATACCAGTGTAAAATGTTCATCATAGAGCCTATAAAGAACAAAGACAAATCCTGCATACCACAGAGCACAGCAGAGATTAATGAAGGAGAAAAAAACTGAGGACGGGACTGATCCATTTACTGTAATACTATAAGAAAGGAAATTTTCAGGGAAACTGGGATATTTTCCCTCCTATTCTTCTTCATGCTAAATTCTGTAGAGCTGTTAAAATGGGATTTGCACATCAGTGATTTTCCAAAGAGTCCATGTGTCCATAGCCTAATGGAGTTCAATGGGTATTGGGTACCAAACTCTCTAAGGCATCGCTGAAAAATCCCAGCTAACAGCACGAAGGGCCTTTTGACAAGGAAGAGCATGGGCAGAAGATGGAATGAACAATTAGTAGATCTAAAGTGCCATCAATGTTTTAAATGTCAATGGGAAAAAGGATGAAATGATCATGATCCCCTTCCCTTCCCTTGTCCTGTTTCTTGACAAACGCTTATTGGAAGTAGTAGCTGACTGAGGTTTAGGGAGATAGGGTAGGTGGTAATAATTATTCAGGCATTAGGATTCTGACTTGAACATTCAAGGAACATCCAATAATGCATTTTAACTCTTTCACTCCGTGAACATCTCTTGTGACCAACAGAATTTGAGACTTGGGTAGAGATGGAAAACCAATTCAGTGTGTTGGTTTTCACCCCCTGAGTCCTGGATTTCCTTCAGGCTACTATTTCCTTACAGAAAGACGTGTCCACCCATTGATGATGAGATTGTTTCGCATCAGGGGGACTGTGTAGATAGCACAGGATTTAACACTTTGCTTCTCCAGATGTTCAGAAAATCTGTGGAAAATGAATTTGGTTACCACGTGGCGTGGGATAACATTTCTAACAGTAGCTAAGAGCCAAATTTTTAAAGGTATTGAGGCACCTAGTGGGATTTTCAAGATCATCTAGGTGCCTAAAACTCACTAAAATACGCTCCTATCTCAGGAGGATGTTAAACAGAATCTACTAAAATTAGACATTTTTAAATCAGCAGATCCAGATAACAACATGGAATCAACATCACCTCAGCATGACAACCAAGTTCAGGATCTATTCGAGCTGTATCCTCCCTGTACTGTTGTACGTCAGCAAAACATGGACACTATGCCACACAGACTGGGCAAAGTTGGAGGTTTTCCACGCAAAATGACAATGTCGTATATTGGACATTATTTGTAATGCAGATGTTTATGGTTGCTTCTGTCTACAGACTACCAGGGCCATTGTCTGCAGATGGCGTCTTACACTTTTGTCACAAGAATGTCACAAGATGTTCCGGTGAACACCATTGTTCAGGTGGCTTGTAAGCGTTGGGATAAAATTCCACCAATTGAGGGGTGGAGGCAGCCCAGAGGCAGCCCTCCTATTACATGGGTTCATCAAGTCTATTCTGATGTTAGACTCTCGGGCCGTGAAGCCCTTGCAACTGCACCGGTATGGACCAAATGGTGAATGATCACTATGGCCAACCATTTGGCTAAGCATTGAAGAATCATAGAATATCAGGGTTGGAAGGGACCGCAAGAGGTCATCTAGTCCAACCCCCTGCTCAAAGCAGGACCAATTCCCAACTAAATCATCCCAGACAGGGCTTTGTCAAGCCGGGCCTTAAAAACCTCAAAGGAAGGAGACTCCACCACCTCCCTAGGTAACGCATTCCAGTGCTTCACCACCCTCCTAGTGAAATAGTGTTTCCTAATATCCAACCTGGACATCCCCCACTGCAACTTGAGACCATTGCTCCTTGTTTTGTCATCTACCACCACTGAGAACAGCCGAGCTCCATCCTCTTTGGAACCCCCCTTCAGGTAGTTGAAGGCTGCTATCAAATCCCCCCTCATTCTTCTCTTCTAGAGACTAAACAATCCCAGTTCCCTCAGCCTCTCCTCATAAGTTATGTGCTCCAGACACCTAATCATTTTTGTTGCCCTCCGCTGGACTCTTTCCAATTTTTCCACGTCCTTCTTGTAGTGTGGGGCCCAAAACTGGACACAGTATTCCGGATGAGGCCTCACCAATGTCGAATAAAGGGGAATGATCACGTTCCTCGATCTGCTGGCAATGCCCCTACTTATACAGCCCAAAATGCCGTTAGCCTTCTTGGCAACAAGAGCACACTGTTGACTCATATCTAGCTTCTCGTCCACTGTGACACCTAGGTCCTTTTCTGAAGGAAAAGAAGATCCAGATAACTCACATCCAATCATTTTTAAAATGCTGGCTCAGGAGCTCACTGGACATTTACTGTTGATTTGCAATACGCCTTGGAACACCAGGGTAGTTCCAGAAGACTGGAAGAAAGCTAATGTTGTGCCAATATTTTAAAAGAGCAAATGGGAGGACCAAGGTAGTTATAAGCCTGTCAGCCTGATATCAATCCCAGGCAAGATAACAAGTGGCTGATAAGGAACTCAATTAATAAAGAAATAAACTAATATAATTAATGTCATTTAACATGGATTTATGGTAAATAGATCATGTCAAACTAACATGGTATCATTTTTTATGACATTACAATTGTGATTGATCAACATAATAGTGTTGATATAATAGACTTCTCTATGGAATTTGACTTGGTACTACATGACATTTTGATTAAACAACTAGAAGGATACTAACAGTCATGGTGGAATCTCCGTCACTGAGAATTTTTATATCAAGATTGGGTGTTTTTCTAAAAGATCTTCTGTAGCAATTATTTTGGAGAAGTTCTATGCCCTGTGTTATGCAGAAGGCGAGACTAGATGATCACAATGGTCCCTTCTGGCTTTGGAATCTATAAATCCATGCAAACAATGAGTTTAGGTGTCCTAGTGTTTTTGAAAAACCTACTACATGCCTGAATACCTTTGCAATCTGGCCCTCAGTGACTTGAGAGCCTAAATCCAATTTTCAAAAGAGCTTTAATCTTTTAGAGCTGGATTTTAAAAGGTATTTAGGTGTCTCAAGCTTCAAATAGATGCTTAGTGGGATTTTCAAAAGCAGCTAACCAGATTAGTGTCCTAACCTGCTTATTAAGCATTTTTGTAAATCTGCAACGTTGGCATCTAAACATTTTAATCTCTAGCCCTTAGGCTCCTAAGCAACTAATGTGATTTTGTAATGGGACTTAGGCTTCTAAATCATTTAGGAACCTTTGAAAATTTTACTTGTGATGTCCAACAATCCATGGAACAAAACTGCCCCTGAATTATGATCTCTTGTATCTTGACAGATGGAGCCTATGACTGGAATAGAGAAGGAAAACCAGTCCAGGATACAGGAATTTATCCTCCTGGGATTCCCCGGCAGTCAATATTTGCAGATATCTCTCTTTGTGGTGTTTAGCATGATATACATCCTGACAGTTGCAGGAAATGTTGCCATCATAGTTCTAGTGAAGGCCCACCATCATCTCCACACCCCCATGTACTTCTTACTTTGCAACCTCTCCTTCCTGGAGATATGGTACACCACAGCCTGTGTCCCCAAGACAATTGCAATCTTCCTGGGGAAAAGCAGAACCATCCCCTTTGGTAGCTGCATCCTGCAGATGTACTTCATTTTCTCCCTGGGTTGCACAGAGTATTTCCTTTTGTCTGCCATGGCCTATGACCGCTATCTGGCCATTTGCTACCCATTGCACTATAGAACCATCATGAACAGCACCAAGTCTGCTCAGCTGGCCCTTGGTTCTTGGATGTCTGGTTTTCTGGCTATTTCTATCCCAGCATCTCTGATAGCCAGGTTATTTTTCTGCAGCTCTAACGTCATCAATCATTTCTTCTGTAGCATAGATTCCTTGATCATTCTCTCCTGCACAAACACCTCGGTGATTGAGATGACAGCTTTCCTCATCTCGATCATTGTCATCCTAGGATCATGTTCCATAACGCTGGTCTCCTACATTTACATAATCTCCACTGTACTGAGGATCCCCTCGGCTCAAGGCCGGCAAAAGGCCTTTTCTACTTGCTCGGCCCATCTTATTGTTGTGACTATCTGGTACAGCGCCACCATCTTCCTCTATGTCCGGCCTTCCAAACAGAGCTCCTTGGAAATGAACAAGATTGTCAACACTTTGAACACTATTGTCACTCCGTTGTTAAACCCTTTCATTTACACTCTGAGAAATAAAGAGGTGAAGGATGCTTTATGGAAGGTATTCGGTTGGACATAAAGTTGTTTTTGAATGGTTTAGATCTTACTGGGCCTGATTCTCAACCTGTGCTCATGTTCCCTTTGGTCAGAGCCAGCCCTAGAACAAATGGTGTCTCAGGTGAGGAGTGTCTTCAGCACCCCCCCTCCATTTGTTAAACTTTTGAATACCTTATTTTTTACTAGAGCATAAGCTTTCGTGGGCTACTGCCCACTTCTTCGGATGCATATAGAGTGGAACATATATTGAGGAGATATATATACACACATACAGAGAACATGAAAAGGTGGAAGTTGTCTTACCAACTCTGAGAGGCCAATTAATTATCAATAATACAATTTTTGAAGTGATAATCAAGCTAACCCAGTACAGATAGTTTGATAAGAAGTGTGAGAATACTTACAAGGGGAGATAGATTCAATGTTTGTAATGGCTCAGCCATTCCCAGTCCTTATTCAG